AAAGCTGCTCCAATATCTGACATTTGGAATATGTTGAATGCCAATTTAGCGTCAGTTTACAAGCCAACAGAATATTTGACTATCGATGAGCAGCTGTTTCCTTTTCGAGGACGAACGAAATTTACTCAGTACATGCCTTCGAAGCCTGCCAAATATGGTATCAAAGTTTGGTGGTTATGTGACGCAGAAAATGGATACCCACTCAAGGGAATAATTTATACAGGTAAAGTCGGTAATACTCGTGACGTCAATCAAGGTGAAAGAATAGTCAAAGAATTGGCAGTTACCTACAAAGGATCAGGCCGAAACATTAGCACGGACAGATTTTTTACTACTTTACCTTTGGCAAAACTTCTTCTGACCTAGAACCTTACTCTCGTCGGTACGTTGAAAAAAAATAAAACCTACATACCACAAGAAATGAAGGCGTCAAAATCAAGAGAAATACTTTCAACTATCTTCGGCTTTCATGAAAAAGTATTATAACTATGTGTTCATACGTGCCGAAAAAAAACAAAGCCGTAATTCTACTCAGCACGATGCATGCCAATGCTGTAATTTCAGATGCACTTCATCAAAAGCCAGATATGATATTGTTTTACAATAAAACAAAAGCTGGAGTGGATAGAATGGATCAAATGTGCTCAAGATATACGACACAACGGCGAACATCCAGATGGCCGCTAGCTTTCTTTTTCAATATTCTCGACATTTCTGCTTTAGCGGCATACATCATTTATTATGAAAATAATAAAATGATTGAAAAAAAGACAAATCAAAGGAAAATTTTCTTAGACCAGCTTGCAGAAAAGTTAGCCATGCCGATAATTGAAGAGAGAGCTTCAAATCAACAAATTGTACGAAACCCAGCTACAAAATTGGCAGTTGAAAGCTACATTGACCGTCCTACAGTTGCAGCGGAAGTCGTTGCTGACAATCAGCCACGTGATACGACTGGTAGAAAAGTAGTAGTTGGAGCATGCCATATTTGTAACAAACAACCAATTAGGAAACGGCGAAAGACAAAAAAGAGCTGCGTTTCATGCCAAAAGCCAGTTTGCGATGAGCACATAGCAAAAATTACGAAATGTTTGGAATGTAATGAATAACTTTTGAAATGTAATAAAAACGTCATTTTCATTTAATTTGTTTAATAAATTATCAAAAATTAATAATATTTTATGTAATTTATTTATTAAAAATTATTATATTGTATTTCCTCAATTTTTTTAAATCGTAATACGTATATTTCACTATTTTTATATAAGGGGTACCCGGGTACTCAGGTGGTACATACATGTACTTTTTTTCAAATTATAAATTTTTTATGAAGAAAAAAAAAACAAAATTTTTTTAATGCATGATTTGATAGAAAATTAGTCAAATCGTGGGGATCCGAGAGGATTTTAGCGTACGTCTTCAGGAAACAATTTATTTAACATAATGCACGCCGATGGGTACCCGGGTACCCGGGTGGTAACATAAGGGTTAAAATTATTTAATCTTTTTGTTAGTCTTGATTCTTATATAAAATCACATTTTAAAGTTATTTGCAAACTTGATAAAGTCGTAGCATTACGAATTGGATCAAATTTTATACGTACACTAATAAAACAATAATAAATATTTTGTGCAAAAGTTTTTGGATCCACTTACTCGTTTAAGGTCTGTGAAGCTAGCACCTCTAAATGGAAATTTCAACAAAATTAACATCGCATTCGATTATCCACTATTTGTTCACATTTGTCCATAAAAAAATTTTTTGTTCACCTTTAGAAAAAAATTACAAATAAATAAAGAATTGTAACACCCTCATGTGAATCTTCTTCCGAATTACATACAGGATTCGATTGTCTATCATGCATACGCATAATTATCTCTTGTCCACCTTTCAAAAAAAAGTTATAAATAAATAAAGGTTAAACTATTCGTCATTGACAAATAAAGAAAATTGCGTGAACATACGCGTATCCACGGTGGATAATCGAATCTCATATGTAATTAGGAGGTAAACGTATTTACGTACACAATGACGAATTGTTTTAACCTTAATTTGTTCATAATTTTACAAAGCAGATAAAAGACAATTATGCGTTGATAAACGCATAATGGACAATTGAATCCCGTACGTTAGGAAGCTCTTACGTGTATAGGGACGAATTGTTTAATTTTAATTTGTTTATAACTTTTTTTGAAAGATGGACAAAAGGAAATTACGCGTGGACAAACACGTACACATAATGGAGAATCGAATCCCATATGTAATTTGGAAGAAGGCTCACTTGGGATGCTATAATGTTTAATTTATTTATAATTTTTTTATCAAAGATGTGAAAAGAAAATTTTTTGTGGACAAATGTGGACAAATATGGACAAATGAAAGACAATCAAATGCGATTAATTTTATCAAAATTCGCATTTATGGTGTCAGCTTCACAGACCTATCTGTTTAATAGTTATTAATCTTAAATGGCAAAAAACAAAGTATAGTCATTTTGCTGCATAAAATCAAATTATTTGTATTTTTGCAATTTGTTTCAGAACATATTCACGAATTAATATCATCAGAAATTTTCAAAATGTAACTGATATTAGTTATTTTTAGCTGATTATGTGACTGATATTTTTAGTTGAAAATGTATACACAAAATCAACCTTAAATACTTTAACAGACAACTAATAAACAATTTTTAACATTTTATGTAACAAACAAGGTACATGAGTATAGATACGTAAAAATATTCATTAGTACATCAAAATACTTTCGAAATAAAAACAATATATGCCAATCAACTATCGTCTTGCAAATATATGTCTATAAATACTTTTCGTATAATAAAAATTATTTTAAAAAATAACAAATAATTTATATCATCAGAATTCTTCGAAAAGCGATAGGATACATTTAGAACTACACCATTCAGTACTATAAATCAATAAATTTAAGAAAAATGCCTTTCTCGGATGATAAAAATCGTTAAAAAATTAATAAATTGTTGGAATGATTAGAACTCTTCGGAAAGCGTTAGAATACATTCAGAACTACACTATAAGTACCATAGACCTCACAGAACTATCGGAAATCGACCAATGTCTCACACATATACTTTGATAGGCGCCTTTCTTGGGTGATAAGAATTGTTTAAAAAATTAACAAATAATTGACATTATCAGAACTCTTCGTAAAGCATTAGAATACATTTAGAACTATACGAAAAGTACCATAAAACTAACAGAATTCTTTGAAATAAGACAACGTCTCATCTTCGTTCCCGTAAACATTATTTTTTAAGCAAAAAATTATTCAAAAATCAAAATAACAATGTTATGTCAGAACTATCTGTAGAATTACGTATCTTTTCAAATCCTATAAGAAGCTGCAATCTTCTTTAGATGAAGTTGGCCCAATGTGGACCTGGTATCCCGTTTTGAATTTTGAGTTTCTCGGCTTTAATGACCGGAACTTATTTATTTATTTATCCTATAATAGAACTATTGAACTATTGAAAATAAACTCAGAACTCTCAATATTTAATGAATTTTCAAGTAAGATGCTAACTTCATACACAAAGAGGGAGAATTACATATTACAATGAGGCCCGATTGCACCAACGTTTACTCTAATTTTAAGCGAGGCTTAAAACTCTCTTTGTCCCTGTCTCTTTTCGGTTTTCAAACGAGATAGAGAGAGTTTTAAGTTTCACAGTGAAAGAAAACAATAGATTAGAAAGTGAACGGGTGAAAGAGAGAGAGAGAGAGAGAGAGAGAGGGGGAGGGAAGGAAGGGAGAGAATAAGATCTCCTTTCTAGCAGACTTCGTGCCAAGTGAAGCGCTTCCCCCTTTCTTGCTTCCCTCGGATTCAGCGCCTGTGACGTACTTTTCTCTCCCTTGACTCATTACACATGTCGTATACAGGGTCAAAACAGATTTGAACCCCGGATTTATTTGAGATGTTTTAAAAAGAAATGTTTTAAACAAAAATTGTAAGTTATAAAAAAGTCTATTTATAGTTCTTGTCAGTTTGATCTTGGGTGGCGTCGCCAAAGTCAAGTTAAATCGATGTTTTTTTAAACATAACACCCCAGAATGGTTTCAGAATCTAATAGTCGATGTTAAAAGCTTCTCAAAACACTATAACAATTATTTGACTAGTAAAAGCAAACTGCTTTTACTAATCAAATAATGTCAAGAACTTTTCGAAACGAGCGTACACACAAGTTCTTTGAAAAGCTCTTATCACCGGCTATTAGATTCTGGAATAAAATATAGGGAGTCATATTAAAAAAAAAATCGATTTAACCTTGACTTGACCTTAATGACATTACCGAAGGTCTAACTGATAAAATCTGTAAATAAATTTCTTTATACCTTACGACTTTTCCCTGAAACATTTCTTTCAAAAATGTCATTCTCCCAAATAAATTCGGAGTCCTGATCTTTTTTTAACATTTTGTATACGTATACGCACTAACACATAATTGGATCAAAATCGGTATCTATTTTACTCCCGGCTCTACTCTATAAATCATGTATAAAATATTCTTGAAATTTTGTCTCTTTATCATGCATTTCTTTATGTCCTTGTATCTTTTCTCTTTTCTTCTTCTATTCTTTTTTTTTATAAAAATATTGATAAACTAATTAAATCATTTGGTGAAAAAAAATAGAAAGAAGGAAAAAGAGAATAAAAGCTAAAGATTCCTTATTATTGAAATACTTGACTTCTTTCTTAAAATTATTATTATCGCCGGCTCACGTAAAGGAGCACGGCAGTGTTTCAAATCATGTCTAGCGCTGAGACACTACCGTGTCTCCAGATACAATATCTAAAAAAATTTGCACTACAAAATAGAATTCTTAGTAAACATAGATATAACTGCTACATTACATATACGTAAATCATTATTACATCTGTATCATATGAAATTATATTCTGTGTTTGCTAAGAATTCTATCTTGTAATGTAAACTTTTTTGACAATTGTCATTCTACAGATAGACTCACTCTTTCTCAGCTGCTAGTTGTTTGTTTTTTTGCTCGATTTCTAGCCCCAGTTTCGTAATATTTACTCGCAAATTCTCAATTATCTCCTGTGCATTTTGCTCGCGCGCGTGTGCCGCATCGGCTAATTTCGTCATTTTTGTAACTTCCTGTTTCAATCGAGCTATATCGTCCTGATAAGCCTCTACTGTTTTTTTTAGTTCATTTATATTGTGCGTGTTATCCACAATTTCATTCTGAAAACGCATTTGCCTCGTATAGAAAACATGGGATAAAAATGAATTCTCTAAATAAAGAAAAAAAAATGAGAAAAGCAGAAAAAAATTAGGTTTGGTTTTCTTACTTGACTTGACGCATTTCAATTTTACCTTGAGCAGCATGCATTGTTCCGATAGTTCCTTCTCATTTCTATGGGCTTTGTACAAGGATTCGTAAAGCCTTGTGTATTCAGTTTTAAAGGGCGCCAGTGCCTCATTAGCACTCATTTCTTTCATTATCTAGAGAAGATAAGGTGGACATATTTTTATTTTTCGGATATTAATTAGAAACTGAAGAAAAAATTTTAATATTAATGTATTTAAATTTAAATAAAAATGTATTTTAACTTTAAATAAAGATGTTTTTAAATTTTAAAAACTTAATACGCAATGCGAACTTAGTAGCACTATATAGAGGAAATCTTGGATCTGAAATCTTGAAGCGAAATTTCAAACAATTAGAATATACACATATATAGATATCATAGACATATAGAATGGACCAATGGCAGGGAGAGAAAGAGGAGTAGAGTGACAGGCAGATAAATGAATAAACTTCTTTCTCTGTTTACTAAAGCTGGATCAACAACAACCAATCAGGCTTTAATGAACAGAGAAAAAACGTTCATTCATTTATTTGCCTCTCACATTACTCATCTTTCTACCCCCATCACTGCCATCGATGGTCCATTCTCTAAATGTCGATGATAGGTACTAATTGAATTCATTATAAAGAATCTTTAAAATTTAGAAATAAGTTGCTGCAATTGTGTTATTATGTACCTTGCTATTAAGAGATAAACATCTAAAGTTTATTATATAAATTCAAATCTCGAGTTCACGTAACTTAAAAAATAAATAAATAAATAAATTGTTAAGTTGCTTAATTAATTTTAATATATTAAAGAATTGAAAAATATAAAATGTTGTAACAGGATTTAAATAATTACTTTAATTAATCTTTACATAATAGAAACATGCATTAGTAAAAATCTCAGCTAACAAGGTTACGTCAAAATGATGTCATTTTTTCAGCTCGTAAACATCATCAATTACTTGTCATCAACACCATTTAGATTTCATCGTTATGACGTGATTATGTCAAAGTCTATTATTATAATAATGTCATAATAATGTTGACAAATGATGTAAAAGTGATATTTACCCTGCAAATAAACTAACATTATTTATCATCATTTTAACATCAAAATGATCTAAAAATGACGACAAATAATGTGAGCTTGTTTATTTGATTTTTAGTCATATCAATTGCGATACTTTATAAATCTAGACTTTACAATTAAATAACACAGCAGCACCTGTAATACGAGATCTACAATAGAAGTCATAGCGGTCGTAGAATCTTAAATCGTAGAAAATTCATCAATCATAATCGATAATTTTTCTCATATTGGAATGTGATTAGTTAATTTTCTACGACTTAAGACCCTACGACCGTTACGATTACTATAGTAGACCCCGTGTAAAGCGCTAATAAAGCGCTTATATTTTTAGTGCTTTGTAGTGCTTTGTAGGTGCTGTGTGCTTGAGAATAAATATATTAAAATAATGCAAATGTTCTCCATCTTTGACCTAATAACCATATTAAAGTACAATCCTTTTTCCTTATGCGAAACTTTTACTTGAAATATATAGTATATATACGTAATGTATATATAAAGACATTAAAAGTGATTAAAGGGACAATTTTCACACTATTTATTTTTAAAAGATCAAGTTTCAAGAAATGTAAAAAATTAAAAAAAATTATTTATGTATAAATCATACATAAAATTATGTGTAATTATGTATAATTATGTATGACCAATTTTTTTTTAATTTTTTCAAATTTTTTTTTTTTCTAAAACAAACACAATGCGAAAATTATCCCTTTAATTTTTTTTATATTTTCACACATTACTATCATTATTTCTATAATACTAAAATGTAATTTTACAAGAGACAGAGAAATGTATGAACATATATGAACAAATTTCATGTATGATTACACATGATTATGAATATTTATGTATATTTATCCATATTTATACATTCATGCGTGAAAAACTTTTTGCCGAGATATAGTTTCATAAAAATCGAAAATGCGAGGACTCATCTTAAGGGCTATTAGAAAAACAATTATACATCAATTTAATTTTATACATCAAATCAGTTCTATACATATTTTCTATTGAGAATGAATAAAAAAAATGAATGAATACCGAGAAATTATATAAAATCACATGGAAACATTTGCACTATTTCATGTCAAAATTTGGGCATACAAATCCATATATAGCGTCAGCAATACGTCTTTTTGACCTAATGCTAACGTACCATTTTAGTATTTAAAATCATAATTACGTCCCACTTAAGTCACATGTCGTCACCATCATTAAAATCATGTTTTTTTCACGTCTTTTCGACGTTGTCTTGTGAGCTGGGATGCATTTATAATAGAAACATGAATCAATAAGAATTTTTATATAAAGTAAGAACAATTTTAAAATTATTAATAAATCACACTGTTTTATTTTAAATTATTAAATGTTTGTGAAAGTAGATCTAATATAAATTCGACAAATGCATTGCTTGTATAAGGTGTTCCAGAATGACTGCCAAATATTTCGTACCTAGATAAAGCGAACTAAACTGAATCGAAAAGTTCTTCACCATTTTGAAATTTTAGTAATAATTAACAAGATAATGAATAATAAAGATCGTTAAATATTGGTCTTTAATAATTTTTAACTCAAGTTTAACCATCAACTTTACAGAAAAATGGTAAAAAACAAAAATTATTTATTTTCTTTTCATAAAGCTTTCAAAATTTTTTCAGAATTTATTAGTATCGCATTTTTTCATGCTGATAAAAATAATTTGCAATAAGAAAATGCAATACTTAAAAGTTAATAACAAAATCTGAAAAAAATTCACAGAGCTTTATGAAAAGAAAATAAATAATTTTGATTAATGCTGTTTTTCTATAAAGTTGATAGTATTTGATTAAAAAAAAATTATTGAATACTATAATAATATTCAGAGAGCAACTTTAGTAATTAATATTTTGTTAATTACTGTGAGAATTGCAAAATAGTAGGGGACTAAACTTAGTTTAGTCCAATCTATCTGCGCACGAAATATTTGACAGTTCTGGGACATCTCGTATATAAGCCGATTGTTGTGTAATTTATTGGATAATAATGCGGAATATTTACCCAAATTGTAGGATAATTAAAATATATATTGATAGAATATGTGAAATGTATTGTCAGATAATCATTGCATGACATCGTATTTATTTATTTTTTTACAAATTATAACAAAATTAAATTAAAAATTATGAAAGGATAATTCCCTGCTTCGCCTATTTTTAATAAATTTATTTTTAATAAATTTTTTATATTATTTAACAATAAAAAATGAAGGTGTAATTCTGACATTTGGTTCTATATTGGATGTAATACAAGCATATATAGGGTAATCCGAAACAGTCTAGGCGTCCCTGAAAAAACATATTTCTGACTTAATTCTAAAACGATTTTTGCTTTACGAAAAGGACCCTGCATAAAACATACGGAAAATGAGTTCCAGCTAATTTGACCAAATTTGTAATATGTTGTAGTTCTGATCGTCCTGATCAAAAGTCTCCATGAGCATGAAATAAAATAATGAACAGTTTTTGAGTTGTTGTAATACGAGATGTATACAAAAAATTCGTGCACTGAATTTTTGTGGTGACGCTGCAAGCTTGTACTGTGGTGCAACGTCTCGGGGGAAGCGTCACGTGTCCTTAGTAAAAGTTAGGTTACGGTCGAGTGAGATCTCTGCTTTTTGTGTCTATTTTTATTAACGTACTTTTAGTTATATTGGCGGAATGGAGCGAGACATTTTAACCGAGTAAAGAACCAACATCAAATTTCACGTAAAACTTGGCAAAAACAGCCAGGAAATTCTTCAAATGTTGAAAATGGTGTATGGTGAGTCTGCCGTGAAGCCTAGAACTGTGTATAAATGGGTAGACCGGTTCAAGGAGGGAAGGGAACGACGCACGAGCGGGGCGCCCTTCGACATCATGTATCGATGAGAACATTCAACGTATTCACGATTTAATGAAGGCAGTCGAATTACCACTAGAATATGATTGCAGAAAAACTTGGAATAAGTAACGATAGTGTTTAGACAATTTAAAAGAAGATTTAAACAAACTGTGTGCAAAAATTCGAAAGTTTTGACTGACGAGCAAAAACAAAGATGTATTGACTGTTACAATAACTGGATCGAAAATGCCCAAGATTTAAATTTTCTCAAAAGGGTGATAACTAGAAACGAATCCTGGATTTACGAATATGATTGTCCTGAAACAAAAAGGCAGAGTGAAGAGTGGAAGCATCATGGTTCACACCAAAAAAGCGCGTAAAAATCAAGACCATGCTCTCATAGTTTTTGTCGATACTCGTGGAGTTGTTCATCATGAATATGTTCCAGAAGGTGAATCTGTTAATGCAAAATTCTATGTTGAAACCTTAAAGCGTCTGCGTGAATGTGTGCGGCGTACACGATCCGAATTGTGGGCGGAGAATGGATTCTGTATTAGGACAATGCATTTTCGCACACAGTGTTTGTTATGCGCGAGTTTTTGACCAAAAACAATATCACTACCATAGACCACCCTCCCTATTCATCTGATCTAACACTCTATGACTTCTACCTGTTCCTTAAAGTAAAAAATATCATACGAGGTGAACATTTTGTGTTGATACCATAAAACGAGAAACGACGAAACTTCTAAAGGACAAAGAAAGACATGTAGCACTGCTTTCAAGAATGGGAGAAACGTTGGACCAAGTGTATTCTGATAAGGGGAGAATACTTCGAAGGTGACCACATCCCAGTTACAGAATAATTTAATTTGAATTTTTAGTGAATCGAGTGCATGAACTTTTTATACACACTTCGTATGTTGGTAAAAATAAGAAAATGCAATACTAAAAAGTTGAAAAAATTCTTAAAAAATTTTGTGAAGTTCTATGAGAAGAAAATAAACAATTTTCGTCTCTTGCAGTTTTTCTGTAAAGTTGATATAGTATTTGAATAAAAAATTAGTGAAGATCAATTTTCGGTAACTAATATCTTGTTAACTATTGCGAAAATTGCAAAATGGTAGAAGACTTTTCTTCTTAGTTAATCCATTCTGCCTTTATACGAGAGATTTATCATTATTTTCCAAACATCCTGTACATATATATACAGGGTACTCCGAAAGTCAATTTCATCAAAATCGCTGTTTTAGCAGAGTTTGATGTACAATAACTCAAAAATTCTTCATTATTTTACTTCGTGCCCATGGAGACTTTTGTCAGGACGATCAGAACTACAACATATTACAAATTCAATCAAATTAGCCGCGACCCATTTTTCGTATGTTTTATGCGGGATCCTTTTGTTCGAAGATTAGTTTTCGAATTACAAAAAGAAATAGCGTATCCACGGGCCGCGTAAAGGAAACAGAAAGGAACAACGCTCACGGTTAAACGCGAGCGCTTTACGTGTGAGACGCACACTGATCAGACGCATCGGATCACATGTTTATAAAAACACGTTCGTTCTCTTCTTTCCTCTCTGTCACACTACCTCTTCGTCTATTACATACTTTAAATATGCTAATTTTGTTAAATTATTAATTACAATAATCAAATTGGAATGAATATTGAACTCTTTGAGTATCGGATTGTTTTTTAATTACACTAATTGTTAAAGAAATGTTGTAAAATAGTGAAATTAGACAATAATTACGTGCGATAAGCATTAAAATATAAAACTATTATTGACATACAAATCATACAATTATTTCAGTACGTCAAATTCTAAGAGCGTTTCTTACAATTCGACGTACTGCAGAAATACTTAGACTTAATTATATGTCAATAGGCGTTAAAATACTTGTCGGAATTATTATTTAATTTCTTTTACAAAATTAACTTTCACAAAAATTTTAACAATTTTATCTGCGTTATCGCGCTCGTAGTGTTCATTACTTATGGGAAGTCTTATGAGAAACATGATCGAGCTTCTCAGCACTTAAAGAGTTATGAATGTTTAAAAAAAGCGTAAGCCAAATATACCTTAAAAGCTTATTATTACCTTAATTAGAAAATTGTTATTACCTTGTAGATGTTCAATGATTCCATTTTGCTTCAGCTTACTTGAACAAATAGAGAAATAAGTTTGAATGCACTGTAATAGTGGTCGATACAACTATTTACTGTATTTCACTTTCATCACTCAAGTATTAAATTATAAGAAGTGACGTATAAGATTTTCTAATATTAACAATAAATATAGAAAAGCAATGAGAGTCAAGTGCAGTAATTGGAGTGCAACAAAATTATCAGTGATTTATTAATCAATAAGTCACAAATGTTTTGGCATCATTCCGAGCCATCATCAGTGGATACATTACTTGTGATTATTGTCTCAAGCCGCACTTGGAAAGTCATATGTATGTCTCTCACTTGGTTGCAAGACCAGGTAATTTTGGCTCTCGCAATGAGATCATACTTATTTAATATTATACTAAAAGAAACTTAATAGAAAGATTTACCAAAAGAAGCCGAGATATTTGTAGTAGAAATCATAATCAATCGAATTAACAAGCTTGAATATGTGTATAGTATTAAGAAATTTTGTCACAAATAACGAAGATACGTGCGATTTAAATGGATATTAACAAAATGATGATAACAAAATAGCATCATGGAATGATGGCATGGAATGATGATCACGGTCATTATGGCAGTTGGAAAACGATAAAGCGACAAGAGCAGCTTGTAAATTATCGGATAAACATGTAAATCCAAATCATTTCGATAGAATAAAACCGTTTAGCTTTACAAGTATTTAACCGTAGAGTGTCAGCAGCCTTATTAACTGCAGGAACAACAGGAGGAATTGACTCTGATACTGTATTGTATTCTGCTGAATTTTTTATAATTCTTGATGATAGTTTTGATTCTTCAAACAGTCGCAGTTGTAATAATCCAAATCCAAACGCTTGTGCTCAGAAATTTGACTTGATGTGGAAAATAATTTATAACAATTATTAATAGATTGTTCCAAATGGCGCATTATATAGTCCCAAAATACTACCATGTTTTAAAGGACTATAAATTAGTGTTAAATCTATTTTACAATTATGGAGTGATTTGAAATGCCACGGAATCAAATTTTTCATGACTTCTAGAGTAAACCAAGCTCCATTAGAAAATCTATTTTCCATGATACGTACGTATGGTGGAATATAATCAAAATCCATATGCAAAAACGTTTCGATTATTATTATAAAAAAACATTGTATTAAATTTATGTAAACCTGCACAATCTGCGAATTGCTTGGATGATGAAGATGACATGTTATTTTCAAGTATACTACATAGATCTGTATCGACAGCTGTTGTTGAAACAACATTTGATACAGAATTAACCACATCGATCAATAGAGCTGATAATTATGAAAATGATGATCAAAATATATTGAACGTCGAAAAAATTGTTATTGATGCATCATATGTAAATGATAAAACTTTGAAATCATCTGTTGTAGAATATTGCAGGATTTATTGCTAAAAAATGTATCGAAAAATCAAATTGTGAACAATGTTGTATCTCATTTATTGATATAAATCATAAACTAACAAAGACAAATATTAACATTTTTCCGAGCGTATGAGACTAATGATGAAAAGGAATTAGAACATTTTATGTATTCCTACAAGAATTTTCATTTGTATTTGAGCTAATGAATACAGTATTTGATGAAGGTTATCCTAATATTAGAGGAACATATAAGATACTGGAGAACTTGTTTTCATTGATGTACAAGCTATAGATATGAAATATTCAGGTTGGTTTCAACATGAGATTTGTAACATCGAAAAAACAAATATATAATAAAAAGTGAAATAAAGTTTAATAAAAAAAGTATCTTATACTCTTTTAT